TTGTGGAGAAAATAGGAGGAGGAAGGTGTGTTGGGTATGTTTGCCACCTTGAGTTATTTAAAAGCAATAAATGTGGGATACAAATAAATAGAATATTCCATTGTGTAGGAGGGATTGATCATTGTTTTTTGACCTCAGAGTTGTTCTCTTATTTGCCATTTCATTCTCTAGTGTCATTTTGATTCTCAAAAGCCTTGTGCCCCTTATTTTCAGATAGGACATCTCTCTCTCTTTCTCTCCCCCCCCCCCAATTTTTGTGTGTATTTTATGGGGCTCCTTAGCCCCTTAACAGATAACAGATAATCAGAGTTGGAAGGGACCTTGTAGGTCATCTAGTCCAACCTCCCCACCCAAGTGGGAGACCCTACACCATTTCTGACAAATGGCTCTTTAGCACCTTAAATGTGCTAAAGAGCACCATAAAATTCAAGGTGCGCTCTGTATACCTTAAACGTGCCCTTTTATTAAGTTGCACAACAGCTGCAGAAGCAAGAGTATAACACTAAAATAAATAACACGCTTAGGTCTAATAATACTTATTAGAAAATAATAGCTGATGATACAAAACATTCTACAGCCATATTTAAGGCTGATAAATACCTGTCCTCAAATTTTCATGAATTTTCAGGAATGGTGGAATGGTTTTAGTATATGCTTATTGTTGCTTGCGGGGTTTGTTGTTTTTGCCAGAAAGAAAAATCTGTTTTCTATAGAAATTAGCTTGATCTGAACAAAGTGAAAGATAGGAAGTGAATGTGGGAGACAGAGGTAGAAAAGAGGAAGTGGAGATTGCTCCAAGGTGGCTGGGAAGAACGTGGATAATTTACCCAGAGTAGCATATAACACAGCAGCTTCTTGCTAAATTGAAAATCAAGTTGCTCTGCAAGCAATGAGTGGTTGTGTTCACACTGCATATTGGGACCACAAATTAGACTTTTAGCCTAGTCTGTAATGCAAAACCATGATTCATTTTGGGTTCAATATGACATAGGATCAAGGTAGTTTGTCATTTCATCCTTTTTATGGACAGGTTGAAAAAAAATGTGTAGGTTAGGGCTGAGATGAAACAACTATTCCATCTGCTCTACCCATATGGAGGTGACGAGATTGAAAATTGAAAAACATGGTGTTTTTTTATTTTTAGAAAATAAGCTGTTGCCATACAGGGCATCTTTTTTTTAAATAGTAAAGAAAAAAAATCGGACAGTGGGATTGGAAGCTTGCATTTTCATTTCTTTTTCAAATCATACCCTCTATCTCTGAAGAAACAGCTGAAAGAACTAGCAGTTTTGTGGACATTATTAGTTACCAGAATGAACGTTTAGCAAACTTTGTGATGGAGTGTGCATTTATAGGAATAACATTCCTGGATGATTAGGCTTTATTCAATGTAAGAGATGCCGAAGTACACTATTTCAAGATCTTTGGCTGCCAGGTAGGTAGATCTTGTTGAAATTCACACATTATATCAGGGATTTTTTGGTTTTGTATGTTGTGTAAAACCAGTCATATTATAAAAATGCATGTTATTGATGATTAAATAATCACCATTTGTAACTTAGCTGAGTAAACTGGACTAGTCCAAAGTGTAAACCTTGTTTCCGTGAGCAGAATGTAATTTATTCAGGAAATCAACCTTTAGATACTAGCTAGCTGGATATTTTTACTGTGATAAAGTGAGCATAGTGTGCTAAATCATGATTTCTTTTTCTGAGCTTTGCTTAGCATGTTGTTTGAATGCAGGTATCTGTGTTTTGAATGATGACCAAGCAGGCTATGATTGAGCCCAGCCAACTCATTGTTACAGTGTCGGAATTCTTCCTGAAGCTGTGAGCGGTATAACAACAAGCCAACATGTTAGCCTGAAAAACTATATCACTTCCTTAACTATATCACTTCCTTAACATGTGGCATGGCAATCCCGAATTTCATTTGTGGAAACTGCTACTTTAATGTTTACTTAGGAATGGTATTCCGATTTAGCGAAAGAGAGGAGATCATTTGATTAGGAGGAATTTAATCATCTCTGTTTTGCATGCAACTTGTTTTATATAATGTGATATCTTGCTTGGGGTTTTTTTTGGGAGGGGGGGAGAGAGCTGCTCTCTTCCAACCCTCTATTCTTGGCTCCTTTGTGCGCTCTTGCCTCCTGCTGCAGAGAAAGTGAGGGGGTTCATTTCTTGTGCTAAACCATGATGTGGCTTGCTTAGTTTTTTGCCTACTATTTTTTATGTATCTTGCAAAATTGTGCCGTGCCTCAATCTAATCAACCTAATCACGAATAGCAATACTCTTAGAAGATGTCAGCAGATATTGGAGGTTTACTAGTCCTTTGTAGAAAGCAGGGAATAACTGGGACCATGATGCTTCATATCTCCTCCTGCTGCTTTCTGCCATCCTCAAGTGTGATGGAAAGTGCAACTGGAGAAGCAGAGAAGGAAGTCTTTTGGCTTTCCCAGGGAAAAGCCCAGATGAAGAGGCTGCATATCCCAAGCTGGATGGGAGAGGCAAGAAGAGGTTTAGGGTAGCCATACCCCAGAATCTCTTAGGATGTATCTAGTATAGGGGTCACCAACCCCCTTGTCTGTGGACCGGCACCAGTCCACGGCATGCCAGAAACTGGTCCACACAAACAAGTGAAATCCCATCCAATGGATGCAGGCAGCATGCGAAACCACACCTCTTCTGACCCGTGGAAAAACCTCTCTCCACAGAACCGGTCCCTGGCACCCAAAAGGTTGGGGGCCACTGGTCTAGTAGGTTGACTTCTGCAAGATTCTGTCCATTGGTGTAAACCAAGGGTCTTCAAGCTTGGCAAGTTTAAGATTTGTGGACTTCAACTCCCAGAATCCCGGAGCTAACATGACTGGAGGAGGAATTCTGGGAGTCCACAAGTCTTAAAGCTGTCAAGTTTGAAGACCCCTGGCGTAAAATGAAGGATTGAACTCGATTGGACTTTGCTGTGTCATCTCTGGCCTCAAGAAGACCTGTGAAGAAGTCATAGATCCTTCCTGTCTTCTCTTTACAGCCAGTCCCCAGCTTCACAACCATTCCTTTAGCAATCGTTCAGAGTTACGACATTGCTGGAAAAAAAAATCCGGTCCTTGCCGTTATGACCGTTGCACCATCCCCTATGATCACGCGATTGCAGTTTGGGAACTGGGCAGCGTAAGCGCTTGCTCTTATGAGCAGTCGCGGTGTCCCACAGTGATGGTGATTTGCGTTCTTTTCTTGCCAACTTCTGGGGAAACGATGCCTATTCGGGAGAATAAGTTTGCAGCATTTGCTTATTGACTGCAATTTTGCTTAATCACCACCGTGATTTACTTGACCATCATTAAAAATGGTGGTTAAATCAGGTCTGGCTTGACTTAAGGATTGTAAAGACTTATGGCAGAAATAATTGCAGTCGTATATCAAGGACTACCTGTACTTTTTACTACAAAATTGTTTTGTTTGTTTTGTCTTATTAAGATGGCCTTTGTGAGAAAGAC